TGTAAACAAAACAACTTGATGGTTCGTCCATCTTACGCCCTTGTGCCACTTCCTGTAATACAAATAAAACTGAGTGGGTTAGGCTTGGGAGCCTGGTGAGCATATAGGGTTTTCAACCCACAATAAATAAATTATATTTAATTTCACCAACCAATCACTATCCCGATTACCCATTCCCGTTATCCTCACTTTACGTCCCTAAAACAACATCTATCTCAAGGGACCTAATCTAGGATTTTCATCGGGACGGACATTACAGCCAAGGGGTTTCCTCAACAATAGATATCCTAAGGAAACCATGAGGGGGATAGAGTACACCGGTGAACACATCGTTCACAACACCTACAGGTTATGAACCTGCTAGCGTTCCACGAGACTGTCTAGAAGGAGTCTGTGGTCGTTATCCATACTCCGCTGAATAACTAGGTCAACAACAACAACAACATCGAGGCCTCTCATCTGTTTATTACACACCAACTATCTACCAATGTTCTACCCAACATTTTAGTAGATAAAAATATATATTTTTATACATAGTTTAAAACCTGTATAGCATTTTCATTCAATACATATTCCACATAACAGATGAGGCATACCCACATAACACGTATTTCATAGAAAACAATTCAGATCTATGAGATTGAAAAGATTGAATATACATTCACGCACATAACAACAAAATTATACACATAACACGTATTTCGTATAAAATACTTCATAATTATGCGTTAGAAGAAAGTAACTACACACTCACTTGATCAGAAGATGATTAGACAGCACTACGGCTCGTAGGAGTAGTATTTCTTAGCAGATCTAGAAGATCTCTACAAAAATCGAACTTCTCGCGGGCAAAGCTTCGGCTCGGAAACCGCACTTCTCGGGATCTCGGGACTTGCTTCGGGACTCGGGAATATTACCGGGGCTTCGGGGTGGCTTCGGGGGTAAAAATGCAGAGCTTCGGCACAAAGAGGAGAAGAAATGAGCAAGAATACTCGGACCCCTCGCATCCTATTTATAGGAGGCTGATGCCTCGGAGTACGCGGGGCGAACGCCTGTACGCTGGGCACATTTAGAAGAAGAAGAACTCATTAGAGGAAGAGTGGTTTTCTTAGAGCTTGAAGATCCAACACTCTTTTCACCTTTGCAAGCTTCTGTCGGTATAAAGCTTCAAACTTTTTGACCACTTAGCTTAGATCTAGATTTGGGGATTATATTGACTTGTTTTAGTCCATTGGCTTGGTTCTTGTGGGTAGGAGTTACTCCATAACATGTTATGATCATTTCTTGGTGTTTTTGGAGTTGTGGAATAATAAAAATTGCATCTTGATGGGTTAAGCTCAACCATGCATGAGTTGATAGCCTTTATATGAAGTTAGAATGTTGTAAATGCATGCTGAGTCTCTTTGATCCATGCAAAGGCATCAAGTTGATGATTTTATTGCTTAAGACATTCCATAAGAGCTAGATCTTCAATTTACACGTTTGGACTTAAAGCATTAAGTGCTTAATGAGGTTTTGGTAGCCTGGACCGTACGTGGGATGTACGTCAACGTACGCTGAGTGTACGTGTATGAGCTCCCGTTTTCCCTTTGTGGTGTAAGTTGTACATCGGGTGTACATGGGTGGTACACTTTGCGTACTCACTAGGACCCCTTTTTGGACTTTACATCTTTTGGTCCAATGTTCGGCCTTGGATTTTTTTGCCATTATTGTACCTTAGGTTTTGAGTCACTGTTGGGCCTTAAGGCTCTTGGGCCTTTTTGGGCCCCTAGGAGTGTTGGGCTTAGGCCATAGGTTGAGGGCCCTATTAAGGGAAGGATAAAATGGTTTTTTACCCCTTAAGCATGTTAGATGGTAATCTGGACCTTTTATAGGTTATTACCCTGATTATTTATTAAGGTTACTTTGGAATGTTCAGTGTGAGGAGTCATGGCTATAGTAGCCTGGGAGTGTGATTTGTTTACCTTCAGACTGAGGTGAGTCTCGTCACTATACTTGTGGGTCGAAGGCACCAATGTCGGCCCATTAGATTATATAGTAGGATAATAGTGATCTTTGTGGCCCTTACTGATATTTATGTATGAGCTTGTTGTCTTTGCTACTCTTGCTGGTATGATTGTATGCTTAGATGTAGGGGTGAAGTAGACCGGTACTCGCTGAAGGATACCGAAGGAGACCGTAGGGATTCAAGGAGTCGGAAGGGACTCATGGGTGAAATAGACTTGTGCATGTTTTGCTATGATATGTATATATACGATGTAAGTATGATATGTATGGTATGTGATATTTGGAAAACTCACTAAGCTTTGTGCTTACGGTTTAAGTTTATGTTTCAAGTACTTCCAGTTAGAAAGGGATGGGTCTGGCTTGAGTGCAGCACATCCACCCACGTTTTTCTACACTTATATGATTTGGAAATTGTACACTGATAAATATTTCCCTAACATATTCTTGAATGGTTGATATAAGCTTTTGATGGTCTTTGGGTTGAATAAAAAATGAAATTTTTATTTAAGATTTTTGGAATGTTACAATCCATATATATATATATATATATATATATATATATATATATATATATATATATATATATATATATATATATATATATATCATATGTATTTATAAATATTTTTAAAGTTTTTTTCTTTTAAATATTTTTATACATGTATTTAATAATACTTATAAGTGTGTTTAAATGCAAAAGAAATTTAAAAACAATTTTAATATATAAAACATGTATGTGTGTGTAAATATATATATATATATATATATATATATATATATATATATATATATATATATATATATTACATTTTGAAAGTTTTATTTATTTAAAGGATTGTATACATGTAAAGATAATTTTTTGATGATGTAAAGATTGTGTAGGCGTATGTGAAGATGGTGATGAAGACTCATATGAAGACACTCCTGACTTAAGAGTTTTAAAGATTGATGTCCGATATTTTCTATACCTAAGAGGCATACTTTTGGTTACTTTGTTTGACCAAATCTTTTGTCTAGATCGTAGCAATTAGGCATGTTGAGTATGACTGTTTATTCACTATACTTAAGCATGACTTGGTTTGTTAGTTGTACATTTCAACTCTTGAAAGCAAGTTTGGTTAAGATCTAAGTTGTTTATTAATTTTGTTCTTGTTTAACTATTCTTCATTCCACATCTTCTTTATTATTGAAAGGTTAAATATCCACTAAAAAAGCTTTTATTTTATATATATTCTATCATCATCCAATTGTTTTTTTTCAACAACGTATAAATACGTTTAAATGAAAAAAGAACTTTGAAAATATTTTTTAAGGTATAAAAATATATAAATATGTTTTTCTTGTGTATTTATTATATTTATATGTATTTTTTACGTAAAAATATATTTTTATATGTATTTAAAATATATTTATATATGCCTTTATTTAATAATATTAATAACACAAAATTTAAAAAATAATATATTTATTTTAAGATAATAAAAATTTTAAAAAAAATATAGGTTTTTGCAAAAAAATAATAATAATAATAATATTTTGAGTTAGTTTATGAAATAGTATCAAATTAATATGTTATTAGTTGAACCGAAAAAAAAAAAAAACATGATCAGAATCCAACATGTTACCGATTTTTAGGATATTTTTTTGTATAAAAATTAATTTGTGAGTATTTCATATACCGACCCGAACTATTAAACTTTTCTGAATATTTTCTATAATTTCTTTATCCGTTTTATATGAAAAAGGTTTTGTTATTTAGGGTTTGTTCATCGATTTATATATAAAATGTTATTTAAGGGTACAATGACAATTTTATTTATTTTTTTAAATTATAGTGATTATAAAATATAAAATTAATTATTAATTCTCAAAAATATTTAAAAAAATAAATTTGAATAAATACGATATTTTAAAAGTTAATGAGGGTAAATATAATATTTTGATTTAAAGTTGTATAAATATGATAATTTGATACAAAACATATATAAATATATATATATATATATATATATATATATATATATATATATATATATATATATATATATATATATATATGAAATTCATCCTAATTTTTTTTTTTTAATTTTTTTAGGTCCTTAAATTTTTTAATATTTTTGTTTAAAAAACGACAAATTACCCGGTAAAACTTCAGAATAACCATTTTTCATCTATTTACCAAATCTAGCGAGTATCCCATCTTTTTTTTATTAATTAGTCAAAATATTAGGATTTTTCTGAAAAATGTGTTATTCTTAACCAATAATTAAAATTGGTTCAAGGGCAATCTTTAGAAAAGTATTAATATTTTGTTTATTGGTAAACAATAATGTAATAATATATATTAGTTCAAGGATGATTTTAAGAAAAATCTCAATATTTTAATTATTGGTAAAAAATAATGCAATATTTAGAAAAGTATTAATATTTTTGACCAATTAACGAACAAAGACATAATACTAGCTAAATTTGTAAAACGGACCAAAAATAATTATTCCAAAGTTTTGGCTGGAATCTGTCTTTTTTTTATGAACAAAAATTAATGTGGAATCTAAAGTATTTAGATTTTAATGGAGATTTTCCTTTGTTTTATAACTTTGTTTTTACATGTTTTGTCATGCTTCGTTTTACAAGTTTTTTACTTTGTTGTTATGAATTTTCAAAATTCGGTTATACAACTTCATCTTTTTTACTTCTTATTTACATCTTTTTTCGCAATCCGTTTTTTACGTCTTCATTTTTTACTTTGTTTTTACATTATTTTTTTGAGTTTCATTTTCTACCTTTTTACATGTGTTTTTACAACTTTGTCTTCCAAGAGTCTGCACGTTGCCACACCCTCTTCTTATGTTGATATTTTTCAAATTAATCGGACTTTACAAACATGTTTTTTAAAACGTTGGTAAATAGCAACCGAGCCAACTTTGTTGATTAGAAAAACTTGGGCTATCAGCGCCCAAGAATTGCAACCTTATAGCCTTATTTCTACATCAATGGTAAATTGTTATAAAAAGAATGTATTTTCAATCAACTTGTCAAAATGATTTTTGGGAAAAGTTTCAAAAAGTTAGATTTTCTTGATTTTTTCAAAAAATCAGTTTTCCTTCTATAAAAAATCCAAAAGAAACTTTTAAAAAGTTTTTACCAAACATCTTTTCTCTGTTGTTTTTTCCTAAAAATCCTTTTATCCTCTCAAAAGATATCACAAAGACCCTATCTCCATAACATATATTTAGAATCATGGTCTATCTATGAGGAGATGATATTTTCATTTGTATTTTTGACATATCCATTTAAAATAGATATGCACCCACATTAGATTCCCTCTCTTTTGATTGAAATGATAGATATAAAATTAAAATATTTTTTTAATGACAAATTGTAAAAAAAAAAAATCATTATATTATCTTAAAATTTTAAATTTGAGATCGAGTTTTTTTTTTTTTTTTTATAATCATGTCATTATATTTACAATTTTGTTACAAGATCAACCAAATAACCGATTCTACATGTTCTTCCGATCCATTTTTACTGAATTTGATAAAGTTACTATGTTTTTTTTCTTAATTATGTTATTATATTTACAATTTTGGTGTAATATCAACCAAATGACCGTTACCATTAATCTAGCACAAGTTACCATATAAATAAAACCATATTTATGCTAGAATGTATATGGTTGTATATTGAAAACGCTTAAATTAATTCTTTACTTAATTATAATCGTATAATTTAATAAAGAGAAATTAAGTGATCTAACCACATTGAAGAAAATAACCAAAAAAATAGCAAATTTTTGAAGAAGAAAAACATTTTTTGTGACAAAAAAATATATTTCAAACTGAATTTCAGAACAACGTGTCGATTTGAATTTCCAAAAAAAACTCTGAAATTTGAAAAGCAATTCTGAAATCCGCTAAACAATTTCAAAATTTTGAGAATTTTTTTTATTTTAATCTAAAAAAATTAAACAAACATAATTAATCCATATTTGAAAAAAAAAAAATCAAAAAATAACGCCAAAATTTAAATGAACCAAAACCTTCATTCTTTTTATATTCATTTATATTCGTACCTGCAACTGTGAAACTCAAGAACCACGTTGGCTGCTTTGTATGTTTTGATTGTAGCTCGTATTGTAAGCCCCATTTGACAATAATAAACTGATGATCACGTGAGCTCTTACACAACAATTTTTGTTCCTATTACTTCCCCTGAAACTTCCCGGTGTTCTTCTTCATCGCCGCTTTTCGCAACCGAAAATTATTGCCATATATACAACTCCTCTCTTTCCATCTTCCCTGAAGTACCCGATCAAGGTCTGTTTTCATGCATCATTTCAGGGTTTATGACTTGCTATTCTTTTTTTTATATTCATCTTGGTGCTTTCTTGCTTGCTTTTTATCCGATGATTCTGAAAAATACGCTCTTAAATCATTCGAAGTTTCTAATTACCATCATTACTCTGAGCAATCGAATGATTTGGTGGCTTTCTATCGTGATCTTGATTGTGATATATACTTGTGCTGCTTCAGATTGATTGATTTTAAGTGATCGTATGATTTGTTAATTGTTGCCAAAGTTCCGTGATGGAAACGGAAGTGTTAGTTTCTTGATTTACTGTTTATATCAACTTCTGTGCAATGTTTGATCATAAATGAGTATCCAGATCGACCAAAGGGTCAATTGTTCAGTGTTCTTGTGAATTCGAATATGGATTTGATTTTCATGTATTCTTTGTTTTGGAATTCAAGGGTTTTTTCGCAAGAGGATTCAGTTTCTTTTTGGATTTTCGATGTTGAAGTTGTTAACAAGAAATTAAGCATCTAATGTTGTGTTTATGCATGTCTGATATGTACAAACGAACAATGAAAAATGGACGAATCTGAGTAGCTTTTTTGCCATGTTCATTGACGATCTCATTTCTCCAGCTTCTAATCATACATCAAAGTGCAATAAATGCATCATAAACTGAAATAAACATTGTTACATTGCTCCAAATTGACCTTATACTTCATTTTTCAGCAAGTTTTTGTCTTCTTGAAATATGGAGATTACCAATGTAATGGAATATGAAACCCTTGCAAAGGAGAAGTTACCCAAGATGATCTATGATTACTATGCATCAGGTGCAGAAGATCAATGGACTCTTATGGAGAATCGAAATGCTTTTTCAAGAATCTTGTAAGTAGTTTCTTCACTTTATTCATTTCTCTATCCTCATAACATTGATCTTGATTTCTTTTATACAAAAACAGGTTTCGACCACGTATACTTATCGATGTAAGCAAGATAGATATGACCACAACAGTTTTAGGTTTCAAGATTTCAATGCCTATAATGGTTGCACCTACAGCTATGCAGAAAATGGCTCATCCTGATGGTAAATACAGGGGTTGTTTCCTTTTGACTTAATCTGGATAGAATGACTTAATGGGTTAAGCCAAAAAACCTGGCTTAATGTATTAAGACACTAACCCATTACCTATTTTCCCTTGTTCTTTTTTCCTCCTAACTCTTCCCACGTTAAACTTAATGAATATTTGTGGAATGTGTTTTTTAGAATGTAAAGGTAAAATTGTCATTTAGTCTCATTGAGCGAATTTTAAGAGCACTTCAATCGAGTTCAATTTTTTTTATAGGAGAGTACGCAACAGCAAGAGCATCAGCAGCTGCTGGAACTATCATGGTTTAGTTCCTTACCCTCTTCGTTCTTTCTGTCAGTGTCCCACATCAGTCTGACACAGTCTCATCTGTCTCAATATATGTTGGAGTCTACCCTCTTTTTTCTTTACTAATTCAATTATTTACATTGGTTTTGCAGACATTATCCTCATGGGCTACTTCCAGTGTGGAGGAGGTTGCTTCAACTGGCCCTGGTGTTCGATTTTTCCAACTCTACGTGAGTACCTCTTCTATCTTTAAACACTTTTTTAAAAAATACCCGCGATTATTTCATATAAAAGTACCCAATTTATAGTTTAATTGTTCCCAAAACATTTCTCCTATCACTAGGTGTACAAAGACAGGAGTGTTGTTACACAACTTGTAAAAAGAGCCGAAAAAGCTGGTTTCAAGGCTATTGTCCTTACTGTTGATACTCCAAGACTCGGTCGAAGGGAATCTGACATCAAGAACAGGTCAAACCATACACTTCAAATTACTAATTTACCCCTCTTTATAGCTTCAATAACCGAGTTAACATGTTTCTTGAATGTGCCCTCTTACAGATTTGTTCTCCCACAAAATCTTTCATTGAAGAACTTTGACGGGCTAAATCTTGGCAAGCTAGATAAGGCGAATATGATACTATTATACATAATCAACAATTATTAACTTTTCTTTTTCGTATTACAAAATTAATAATTACATCAAGATTTTGTGATCAAATTGCAGACAGATGACTCGGGGTTAGCTTCGTATGTTGCTGGTCAAGTTGACCGGTCTCTTAGTTGGAAAGATGTGAAGTGGCTCAAGTCAATAACCCCGTTACCTATTTTAGTGAAGGGCGTATTAACTGCTGAAGATGGTATATGATATGAACGATTTTTTTTTTTTTATTCCTAGTCCTTTACATATACTAAACATGCTCCTTTATTAATAATTTCTTTTATAAAATTTCCATTTTCCAAAATTTCTTTTAGCAAGGATCGCAGTGCAATCTGGAGTCGCGGGAATTATTGTGTCAAACCATGGAGCTAGGCAACTTGATTATGTCCCTGCAACTATTACGGCTTTAGAAGAGGTCTATCACTTCAATTGATTCTTTTATTGTCCTTTTGTCACACAGGACAATACTGGACTGACAGTATTGAACTGGTTGTACTGTGTTTGGCATGTATTGAACTGAGATGAGATAGTGATATTATTATATTCTACAGGTGGTGGAAGCTACGCAACGTAGAGTTCCGGTGTTTCTTGATGGAGGAGTTCGGCGTGGGACAGATGTCTTCAAGGCATTGGCTCTTGGAGCATCCGGTGTATTTGTAAGTATAATTTTGTGGTTTTTCTTAATGTTTTTTATTTCACTTGAATAAAGTTGGATTCAAATCCAAGTTGGTTTACCATATATAACGTGTTTGTTATGATGGTTTTCAGATTGGGCGACCTGTCATTTTCTCATTGGCTGTAGATGGTGAGGCTGGTGTGAGGAAGACTCTTCAAATGCTGCATGATGAACTTGAGCTCACGATGGCTTTGAGTGGGTGTTGTTCACTAGCAGAGATAACACGCAACCATATTGTGGCGCCATGGGACCCACTGCGTATAGCTCCTAAGCTTTAAGCTGTAGCTGAAAAATACGTGATTAATTGTTATGGTTTGAGAGGTAGCTTATGTTTGTTGTGATTTGAATTAGTGTCTTTGGTTCGTGTATGGATGATAAACTAATAAAAATTTGGTGGATCGGGTCTCGTTTTTTTAGAAATCGGATGTATGTTTTTTAGAGGCGTGCAAAAGGATCATTGGTTTAGGTGTTTGTTTTTTCGAAGCGAAAATTCATAAAGTGTGCAGACCACCTCTGCAATCCTGTAGCAAAAAAAAGTGGAACAAACGGCTGCAGTCTATAATAAGAAGCATGTTTGTTTTTTAACATCTGCAGACTGTTGCAGTAAACTAAAATTTAAATAAACTAATTTTATAAACTGAAAATAGTTCTCAACACTAAAACTTAATAATTCTAGTCTTAAACATTGAAATAATAATAACAAGAACATGTAAAAATACAAAAATATAAAACTTTTTTAAAAAAAAAAAAAACTTAAAAAAAATGTAAAAGAAGCTAATAGTTTTATTCTAAAAAAAAACTAATTTTAAAAAACATTAAAAAGGAAAATAATAAAAAAAATTAAGAAAGTATTGCAAACGTTGTCTACAAAGTTCGTAAAAAAGTACACACGTTAAAAAAGATGTAACTAAAATTGAAAATATTATTAATAAAACGGTAAAAAAAATTTAAAAAATCAAGTTAAAAAAATCGTGGAAATTATAAAAATAAAGTGTATCACATCCGTAAATAAAAATTTAAGAAAATAAAAGTTTTAAAAAAATAATTTTTAAAAAAAAGTTATACGAAAATTCTTAAAAAAACACTTCGGTGCTGTTTGTTTTTCTATAAAAACCTCTTCAAACCATTTATTTTTTTTAATTTTTAAAATTTTTTTGTATAACTTTTTTTTAAACTTTCATTTTCTTAAATTTTTATTTACAAATGTGATACAATTTATTTTTATAATTTCCACAATTTTTTTTTAATTTTAAATTTTTTTTTACCGTTTTATTAATAATATTTTCAATTTCAGTTACATCTTTTTTAACGTTTGTAATTTTTTACGAACTTTGTAGACAACGTTTTGCAATACTTTCTTAATTTTTTTATTATTTTCTTTTTTTAATGTTTTTTAAAATTAGTTTTTTTTTTTAAATAAAACTATTAGCTTCTTTTACATTTTTTTATGTTTTTTTTTAAGTTTTATATTTTTGTTTTTTACATGTTCTTGTTATTATTATTTTAATGTTTTAAGACTAGAATTATTAAATTTCAGTATTGAGAATTATTTTCAGTTTATAAAATTAGTTTATTTAAATTTTAGTTTACTGCAGCAGGATGCAGATATTAAAAACAAACATGCTTCTTATTATAGGCTGCAGCCGTTTGTTCCACCTCTTCTGCTACATAGGATTGCATAAGTGGTTTGCAGACTTTATGAATTTTAGCTTCGAAAAAACAAACAGCACCTTAGAAAAAATGAAAACTGAAGATGTTAGAAGAGGCAAGTCAAGTGCTGCGTCACGCAGCCCACGCGCAGAGATTTTGTAGTCTGAAGTCTTCCAAAAAACAAACTGCTGCGAGAGGGAAAGTGTTGCGTTTGTGCTGCGTCACGCAGCAATAAGTGGTTTGAAGAGGTTTTATAGAAAAACAATCAGCATCTAAGTCATCTTTGTTGTTCCTTTAATATATGTCCTCTAAATGAAGAAAAAAAGTTTCAAAAAGGGATAATCACAAAAACGCCCGAAATGATATGGTTGATTTAAGAAATTGTTAGTCCCAACTTAGTGTTTAGATTTGATGATGGCTTAAATGGTTATAAGTGTCCCTAAAATATAGGCTCTCACAATCTGTCTTAGAAGATTGTGTGGATCGACAGATGGGGTTAGATTGTCTTGAATATTTAGCTTGGAACAAGCATAATTCTGTTAAAATATGTTGATCAATCTTTTGTTGTGGCATTAAAATAAGTTTAGGGTTAAAAATATCAATAAGGCTAAAGTGTAGGAACCGTCACTATAAATATGGGGAAAACGAGTATAACCCTTTCTGTAATGTACGTAGAGTAGGTTCTAATTTCCAAGTTTTTGAATATGTACTAAGTGTAACACCCGTATATTATACGGGTTGATTTAAAAATGATTAAACTTAAAGTATAAAAATGAAATATTTTTTAATGTACCATTTTTAAATAAGAAAGAAATCAACGTATTTATTACAATTTAATATAATAGATATGATATTTAATACTTTACGTATATAATTATATGATTTTAATTAAAAATTAAAACAAACTAAAAATTGACAAGTGGATAATATTTATTTCAAAATTATCACAAAATGACAAGTGTCAAAACTCATGAAGGATTGACAAGTGGCAAAAAAAAACCTTCTTTTATTAAGGAGGATATTGACAAAAAAAAAAAAAAAGCCGTCTTCTTTTTTTATTGCAATTTAACCGCTAAAAATAGTTATCATTTGCAATTTAGCTTAATTTTCAAGTTACCGCAAACAATATAATAGTAAGTTTCGATCGTTAAAGTGTAAACAAAATATCGAAGGTGACTTTTTTTGTCAATAAACTAAAATATATGTATTATTTTTCAATGCATAATAATTTTTAACATCAAGTCTTATATATGTTAAGATTAAAAGGGTGTTCAGGATTTCATTTTGAACCTCAAAATGACTTTTAGACAAAATGACTTATTAACTTATAGTCGTGAAAAATATTTGTTTAAAAAAAATGTTTGAATTAGCTTTTGTGGTAAGAAAAACCAATAAATTGTTTTTTTTAATGTTTGTCTTAACTTATACATGTTTTAAGGGGTATTTGACTTTTACAACCCAAAATATTATAAAGAATTTTGAAAAATTAGAAATCATAACTTATTGAAATCTTATTTATTTATTTATTTATTTATTTGTTGAAACACCCTCCACATTCATTATAATCTATTTTTGTTGAAACAATCATTACAATTTGTTTGATTTTTAATATATGGTAATTGTTGAGAATTTATTGCATCAAGTACACGGTTTAAAGAATGATGAATAATCACAAGATTTACATAAGTGGACATGGATCCTAAAATCTAGGTTTTACTAGTTATAACAACGAACTTAAAAACTAACAAAAAAAAGTATAAAAATACTTACATCTTGGTCCTTAGATCGTGTGGTCAACAACCTTCCAATGGATATAGAACCAAAGATAGAACTCTTCTAATGTAGTCAAATCCAAGACTCCAAAAGTAAAACAAGGAAAACCCTATTAGGGTTTATTCGAAAATCCCATAACCCTAGAGAGGGGTTATGGATTTCGTATATAGAAGAGAGAGAGATAGAGAGAGAGAGAGAGAGGGGGGGAGGGAGAGGGAGGGATAACGAAAATTAAAGGCTTTATTCTTGTTATTATTTAGAAATATTACCAACTAATTAATGACCTTGGGTACCATTTTCAACAATAATAAATAAATACAAATTTTTAATTATACTTATTTAATAAAATATAAAAACGATTAAAATGTAAAACTATATTGTTATGAAATATATATGTCATATTTTGATGGTTGAACTAAATCAAAATTTGATACGAAATATACATTCACATATCAAGTTCTTGGTTGAAAACAATGCATTATTTCATCCATGGATCGTTGAGAAGATGAAAAACAGTTTTATCCGCATGACATAGAAACTCTATTCTTGCAATATCTTAACAATAAGTATTCTTAATTTATATAGAATGTATATTACAATATACTACGTTGATACCAATATGCCTACGGTTTTAAAAATCCAAACAATAAACGGCATACTATCTTCGTTCTCTCTTGGATTTTCATAATGATTACCAATGTCAATAGTAGTTTCATAATTGTTTAAAAATATATTTATGCAACTAACAAAATCGTGTTTTTGATACATATTAACTCATATGAAGATTTTTCAACAAAGTACTTGGTATATGAATTTATTTCGTATCAAATTTTGATTTAGTTTCATCATCAAAAACTGATGACACATTTCATAACTATACTTTTATATTTTAGTAAATAGAAGTATAATTAAAAAAATTATATAATTATTATCATATATTAAAAATCAAACAAATGGTAATGGTTGTTTCAACAAAAGTATACCATAGTTTAATCTTAAAATATATAAGACTTGTTAAACTTATTATGCATTGAAAAAAATTATACATATTTTGGCCTATTGACAAAAAAAATTATATAATTATTATGATATACTAAAAATCAAACAAATGGTAATGATTGTTTCAACAAAAGTATACCATAGTTTAATCTTAAAATAGATAAGACTTGTTAAACTTATTATGCATTGAAAAAAATTATACATATTTTGGCTTATTGACAAAAAAAATTATATAATTGTTATCATATATTAAAAATCAAACAAATGGTAATGGTTGTTTCAACGAAAGTAGATTATAGTGTAATCTTAAAATAGATAAGACTTGTTAAACTAATTATGCATTGAAAAAAAAAATTATACATATTTGAGCCTATTGACAAAAAAGGTTACACTTATATTTTGTTTACAATTTAATCATCAAAACTTACGATTGTTTGCAGTAACCTGAAAATTTAGCCAAATTGCAAGTAATAACTGGTTTCCATGGTTAAATTGCAAAAAACAAATAAATAAATTATGGGTAACTTTTTTTTGTCAATAAAACCAAAATATAAGAACTTTAATGCATATTTCTCTTTTTCTTTTGGTTTTTGTGTGTAATAAACACATTCAATTCAAGAAATAATTTTATTTGGATCATTCTTTGTTGATTTCTTTTACATTTCTTCGTAATTTATCATTTAATTCTTCCGTAAATACACAAGGGGTAACAAAGCTTGGAATGTTTGAATTTTTCTTAGAACGCGGGTTTAATTTGGAGGTTCTTGACTCAATTTTTATTTGATTTCTTCGACATTTCTTCATAATACATATATTTATTTATATTGGAGTTTTAAATTCATAAAAACTAGGAGTTACATCTCTGTGATGCACCACAAACCTTATGTATGTAGAATAACAAAAGAAATTATTTACAACGATGTTAAGTTTAATGGTCAAAAAAGTGCATCCAAGGTTTGTTTGAAGAAACCAAAAAAATGTCGTAATATATTCAAAAGATATTACCACACGATTAACAAATACTAATTTTTAATTTACCATTTATTATAATTTTATATATTTACAAAATAGGTATTTAGATGACACTTAAATGATTAATTATATAAGATAAATCGATGAAGAAGGAATATAGAAAATAATAAGAATGTTTAGAGTTCAGTAAAATATTTTTCAAATTACCATTTAGTATAAAATATATATTCCTAAATTAGTTATTTAGATTACAATTAAATATGTAAGTAAATCAAAATAGAATATAGAAAACAATTGAAGTGATTGGATTTTAAAAAAAAATTAGTTTTTTTATCTCAAAATAAAATTAAGATTATGTCTTCATATCTCACAAAAAATTCATTGTTTCAAATGAATTTTTACCTATATATAAATACTTGTAAATTTAAAAAAACCAATATGTATAACCCACTAGGCAACATATCTTTCTGTGTTGTTAAGATGGTTGGAATAGCACGGGTTGTGCCTAATATTATTTTGAGAAATTAAATATTCTTCTACTTTTCTTTTTAAATATTTTTCTATCTATTTGAAATGATGACAAGTATATTAAAATTTTATTAATCTTATCCAAATATAATACATGTTACAATTTCATTGGGTAGGAAGACAAGTAGGAACTAAAAATAGAAGGTTATTTAATTTTTCTATTAATTCTAAACAATATCTAAGACGAATAAACTAGTAATATAGTTACGATTTGTGGATTGCAAAATGTTACTATTTAAATTTGTTAAATATTAATTCAAATTGGTTTTTTCGTTTATCATGTGATAAAATCAAGACGAAATTGTGAAAGTGTTAAATAATATGAAAAACCTATATGACCAAAAAATCAAAACAGAAAGCAACTTTTATTTTACACCCAAAAATGATCATTACAGTTTCAAATAACAACTCAAATTATAGAATACATTTTAATATAATTAAGTACAAATAAAATAGACAATATTACACTGTATTTAAAAACAATATGACATTTAATTTAAACTAGTAGTTTTAAATAATATTTATGATATAACAATTTAATAATGTGAGTAAATTACAATACCAGTTCGTTCTGAATTTCCAATCATCTCTATTCTTCTTAGGGATAATGTCACTGTAGCACATGGAACTTTTAACATTTGGCTAATTTGGTCCTTAAAGTTTTTTTTGGTACATTAGACCATTAAACTCATAATTGACCTTTTAATTACACCATTTTAGAAGGTTTCCCGGTTACAATGCTTATGTGGCACGTTGATGTGTCCAATAAGCTTACGTGGTCCAGTTGTCGATACAAGCTTATTAATTGAAACCCTCATTCGGACCTCCTTTCAATCTTTACTTACCCTTCTCTGAAAAGTCAAAGACTTCTCCCTCCCCGACTATTTCCATCCTGAAGAAGAATGTCTTCAAGCTCATCAACGTCAAGGAATTAGCTACAAGTCACTCATGTTCAGTCGCAAGAAGGGGTAAAGGTTTGTGATTGTGTCGTTCCAGCTAAAGAACGAATCTGTTGGAAGATAACAAACCCTGGGAGGCGATTCTGGAATTGTCAAAACAGTATGGTAGGTCCCGATTCTCTTGATTTTGATAAGTTAGTATTTTATGGTTTGATGTGTTGTTTCTTTCTGTAAAGACGATAATGGTGTATTTGTATTTTGTTTCATCTATTAAAAACCTAATTTTATTTCCTTTCTTGACGATCACTATGAATAAAACCCATTTCGCTCGTACATTAAAGGTAGTTGATTTGGGATTGTCAGTCAAACCCTAATTTTATTGGCTTTTTATAGACTAGGTTGAGGAAATGTAGCTTCTTTGAATGGAAAGATGAAGATCAGGCAGACGGGTACTACAAAAACCTGCTATATTCTCTGAAGCAGAAACTGGATGCCAAAGATGAAATATCTGATATGAACAATTTGAGGAGAAGGATTGCTGAAGTGGAGTTTCTGCTATCATAGGAGCAGTATAAGGTGGCAAAGAGTGAGAAAGAAGTTCATGATGCAAGGAAGGCAATAGGCAGGTACAAGATGATAGTTGCCATGTTGTTTGCTTGCTTGGCCCTATGTGTTTTGAAGTTAGGGGGGTCAATGTAGTTAGTTTGGTTGGTTAGGGTAAGCTTTTGTTTTTTTGGGATCCCTTCTATTTTTTGTAAAGGCGGACTAGAAAGTCAGTTCCATAAGGGCATTTTGTATGTATTGAAGCTGGTTTTAGTTATAAGTTAGGGTTATCAACCTTAATGTGTTGATGTTGTAAGGTGGTAAGTCCCTAATGAAAGGGCATATGATAAGTAATGTAAAAAAAATATTCAAAGTCCCAATTGTAGGGCATTTTGTATAATCAGATGATGTTTATCAAACATATGCATGGTCTATATTCCCAACAAATATATTTAATTAGGAAGTGGTCCATGTGGAAGTACACTATGTGTATGGGGACCATTTTAATAATGAAAAAATAGGACCTGTGAAGCCATTAAAAAACCAAATCCGGGGCCATATAAAACATCCCCATGCATGCACATTATTCCAATTTTTTCCAATCATAAATATTCAAAGCCAAATGTCATGATTTTACTTAAAATGGTAACATACTTTCATACTTCATGTCATACATAAATAAATGACCAACATACCCTTTTCTTGCATACATAAATAAATGACCATCATACCCTTTTCTGTCATACATACTTAAATGACCAAATTACCCTTTTCTTACATACATAAATGAATGACCAAATTACCCTTTTCTGTCATACATACTTAAATGACCAAATTACCCTTTTCTTGCATACATAAATGAATTACCTACATACCCTTATCTGTCATCAATAAATTAATAACCAAATTACCCTTTTCTGTCATAAATACTTAAATGACCAGATTACCCTTTTTCTTTCATACATACTTAAATGACCAAAATACACTTTAATGTCACACATACTTAAATATAAATTACCAACATCCTATTACATAAACTTTAAATATAAATTACCATCATCCTATTACATAAACTTTAAATCCAACTTACCATCATCCCATTACATAAACTTCAAACACAAATTAAAATAAACACTAATCAATTACAAGAGCTTTTCCCTTCGAATTTCCTGGATCATCAACACCACCAATTGTTTTGCCTAATTTCAGCTTCAGTATTCTCTCTGACTTTCTTCTCCTTATCCTCTTCAAAATATCTGAAATTGGCCTAACACAAACCTGCTGAACTTGGTTAACAGGAGCGACCTCCTGAACATTACCATTATCCACTTGGGCATTAGGATTAACCTCATCAACCTCCTGAATATTTACATTATCAACTTGGATAACAGGATCAACCTCCTCAGCCTCCTCATCTTGAACAACTTGCTCAACCACAACAACTTCCTCAACCACATCAGCTTCCTCACCCATAACACCCTCATCACCTTCATAACATCTAGGTGGAGTAAATTGCATATAATGACTAAAATCCCTTTGCACTACTAGATTCAACATCAGTAGGAGCAACTTGCATATCATTTTGAGTAGTATCCATCTCAATTGGAGTCATTTCAACCTCTTCATGTTGTTGTGGTTCACTTTTACTACCCTACACGGCATGATATAATTATGTTAGTAACAAATTATATGTAATTAATCTTATATTTTAATTTGTTTTACCTGTCCTGCATTTTGGTTCACACATACTTTTTGTTTCTTCTGTTTCTTCACATTTAACTTTTGGGGCCTTCTCTGTGGACAAGTGGCCTTGTTGTGACCTATCTCCTTGCAAATACTACATCTGATTTTCTTTCCAGCCTTAGAAACCCTGTGTGTTCCTGTATTCTCTGTAGTGGATTTCTTCCTCTTAGTAGTTGGCCTACCAGGCATCCTTCTATTAATAGGAGGCAATGGTGGAGTATAGTTTGTCTCTGGCCACATGTCACTGCTATTCATGGGAGCAATTCTGTAATTGTATGCCTTTCTAAATGTGTTTGTGCTAAACATGTTGTCTACATAGGCTTCTACATCCCTATTAAGAAAGGATATGTTAGCTACAGAATGAGCACATCCATATCCATTCAATTGCCACAACCTACATGAGCATGTTTTTCTTTCTAAGTCCACCTCATATGCATCTATTGCTCCCCTTACCTCAAACTGGTTTAATCCACTTGGTAGTACCCGATAATGCCTTTGAGCTTTTTTAAGCAAATTCACCTTATCCCTTATCTCTGGACAAATATGATTTCCCCATTTTTTGTCCCTTTAATTTCATGTTGTAGATTCTGTCCATCATGTATAATCTTATCTCCTCTAACAAGGTTATTATGGACTTCTTCCTAGCATCTACTATTACAGCATTAAAACTTTCTGAGAACCCATTTTCAACTACATCACAACACCTTCCAGTTTGAAAGAAAGCTCTAGACCATGTTTTAGGATCTTTCTCCATGAGATATTGATGGGCATCTGGGTTCAATGTCTCAATTTCTTTCATCACAACTTTAAAAGCATGCTCAGTTGTGGCTTTAGATGCTCTCCAAAACAAGGTATGATATATGGCACCAGTAAATCTCTTCTGCAAATTCTGGCAAATATGTCTAGCACACTGTCTGTGCTCTACATATGGCAGCAACTCTTTAACAGCCTCTATCAAACCCTGTATTAGTAAAAAGGTTAAATTCAGATAGTCTAAAATTAACATAAATGCATTACTATGTAAAATACTAACCTTATGTTGGTCTGACATTAAACTGAAACCATTGCCTAAATTCAAGTGTAGATCATCAATGAGAAGCTCTAGAAACCACTTCCAATTCTGCTTGTTCTCCACATTAACCACTGCCCAAGCAATAGGATATATCTTGTCATTTGCATCCCTCCCAATAGCACAAAGCAATTCTCCCTTACAAACACCTTTAAGAAAACATCCATCAAGACCAATTACCCTTCTACACCCTTCAATCCAACCTTGTTTAACTCCTTGAAAACAACAATAGAACTTGCTAAAATATTTCTTTCCATCTGGCCCATCCTCCATATCTAGTTTCACAGTTGACCAGGATTTGTCCTTAAAATCTCATGACCATATGACCATAGCTTACCATAATGTTCAACAAGGTTTCCTTCAACAAGTTTCAGTGCATACTTCTTTGCTCTTCTACATTGCCCCATACTAACTTGGATACCAAACTTGGCCATTACCTTTAACCTAAGCTTCCTTACACTTATTTTCTGACTTTCTACAATCTCTTTGGTATAGTGACTCCCAATCCATGCATATGTCACCAATGATCCAAACTTGAAGTTCCTAGCACAATTATGATCAGCTTTTAGTGACTTGATTTGGAAACTCTCTTCATCACTCATCCAGGAAGCCCATAATCTAAATGTGCAAGCACCTTTGCTACACCTCACCAAAAGTCTTGTCCTATCATTTTTTTCAAAACACAATTGATATCCATTAGCTACAGCATAGTTACACAACATTGATTTTACTTGCCCTGGACCCTTAAATCTCATCCCTAGAATTGGTTTTTGTTTTTTCCAGTGTAATAGCTCATTAAATATGGAATGAGCTTGTATGTTAACTTCAACTTCTCTCCCATTGTCATCATCTACAATGTTGTTTGCATCCTCATCATCAACACATAGCTTACTCAAGAAAGGATCATTTGATGTCCTATTCATATGCACTACATCCTCATTAAATTCAAAGGCAACATTTCTAAGTTCATCTATGTTGTCTTCATTTTCACCATCAATACAAGACTCATGTTCATCATCATCATTATCTTCATCATCATGCCACCCATCAACACCAACCCCAATATGATCCACATAAACCGAAATTACACCATCTGTTCCATAAGCATCAAAAATAAAAGCAGAATATTCCACATCATCTGAAATGGGATTAAGCCCTTCCATGAAGGACATGTCTGGTTCACAGTAGTAAAACTTTTTACACTCTTCATGCATGAAACGTTCGCAGAAGGTCACAAACTCAGAATAAGTCATAGAAGAAAAGTCAACATCATTGAAGATGGTTTTAACACCACCAGTGTAAGAGAAAGGATTTCGATTAAATACCTCTTGGTAGTTAAGTTCCACCATCGAAAACAATCCATTAGGTTCCGATTGTGCCATTGCTGCGAGTTCTTTGTTTCTTTCAGCTCGATCACAGGAATGCTTCACAAACCCTAAATCAGTTTCTTTTACAGCTGAATAATGAAGAAGAAGACTAGTGAAGTTCGATAGCTGAAGACAAAAGGCTTTAAGCGTCGTATTTCATTAATTGATGTGGCATATCTCACGTGGCATCGGATTAGACAAAAAATATATATTAATTGACAAAATGGCATCGTATAACCGGGAAACCTTCTAAAAGTTGCTAAAATGGTGTAATTAAAATGTCAATTACGAGTTTAATGGTCTAATGTACCAAAAAAACTTTAAGGACCAAATTAGCCAAATGTTAAAAGTTCCATGTGCTACAGTGATATTATCCCTTCTTCTTATGGAAGGAGAAAATACATAAACTCTTACTAACGACTAAAAATCATAAAATAAAATAAAAAATAAAAAAACATATTTTCAACTTAGTGATTTCTCAGCCAATAATTTATTTTCATGAAATCTTTGATCGACTTGATTTCTCTATTAATGGTATCTCGATCGTAACGAGTCATTTTATTTTTTTTGTTACATATTTTTGTAATGGTGTGTATTGGATGGTGATTTTGATTTGGGAAAATGACTTATGAAAGTAACTACTTCTTATGTTTGTTCACATGTTGACAACTTCTTCTTTATTATACACATAAAACCAACTAACTTGTTTTACGTGTTCAATTTACACCAATATTACCGGCTAACTTGTGTTTTAACCGATTGACTCAAATTAACTCACTTAAAAGAAATTATGTGGCGTATTACATGTTCATTACACCCTTTTGTCCGAAATCGACTTCATTTATTAGGGTTCCTCATATTTACTCCCAAATCGTTCCCGATTAATTAAGTTTTCTCAAAAAGCAATCGATCGAAGCAGTAGGAGTTCATTGTTTGGAATTGAAGTTGGGACTTGAAATCGTCGATTGTAACATGTCATAATCATATAACGGTACGTATCTTACAATAGATTTTCACTACAATGGAATGTTTGCACCAAACTCATTAGTGTACTTAGACCCTATAAGAATGTCAGTTCGTGAAGTGGATTTTGGTGGCATGAACTATAGAGAATTTGTACTGTGGGTTACAAAGCTGAGTAGAGGAAGGTGTGAAATTTTGTACTATTGTAGTAGAAAAGAAACATTAGCAGAAGGTATTAGAATAATCGACAATGATGCTAGATATTTCGAGTTATTGAAGATGATTACATGCCTAAGAACGAGCTAGGAATGAATATCTACATTGACCATCAAAATGAACCTATTCTTGACTAGGCCGATAAGGAGGTGTTAACAGGTGATGAGGTGTCTGAGTTGGTAGAAGATGATGATAGGGACTCATATATTTCAAATATAATGGAATGTATGTTGGATATTAGCCCTCTACTATATAGCTTAATACAAAATAAAGGGAGAAGATGGGTTTGTGTATGGTGTTTATGTATGCATGCAGAGAGTGAGAAAAAAAAACATAACAACTTAATGGGGTGGGGTAGATTGCTGCTACAACACACGTGGGACTACATCTTTCTAAAACCTCTTATTATTCATATCAACAACGACTATATATATAGCTTCTTAGATACCCATGTAAAGCATGAAACAACTCATGCTACTTACTCTACCTAAAGACCCGTAGAATTCCATAGAATCCGGTCAAAAGCAAAGACCAATTCTAAATACAAAAAATATTATCGAAAACATAAAACATAAATTATTAAATCTAAAGTTTTAGCCTTGCACGTGAGCTATGACTAACGAACCGATTAACCTAACAATCACCCCCTTAATCGATTTGTTCATACCGTTCACTCACAACAATGTTAAATCCCCGTCTTCTAGAACCATCTCGACTTCTCCCAGACACCCGACCTCCACCTCGGTCACGTCCAAAAGTCTTCACCAAATCCCGACTTTTCCTGGACAACTGACCTTCTCCTCGGTCACGTCTAAAATCCTCCACACCCGGCTATTGTTTGTCACCACACAGAACCTGTTTGCGTATAACACTTCTGTGACACGAGAGCCTTCTTCCACCAATAAAGAAAACAAAGCAACCCGCTTTTCCCGTCTTCTTTCACTTGCAAAACAAAACAAACCCAAAGCCACCTGCTTTGACGAATCTTTTCTGCTCGTTTTCTCCCATACCTTTGGTTAATCTCTCCATTTTCCGATGACCTACCCACAACCTACCACTGGAAGCACCACCTTGTCAGACACCAGCAAAAGCAAAAGGCATCCGGCAAAGAAACTCGCCAACTGAACCTTAGCACCTTCACAACCTCTGTTTGCCTTCGACCCCGGCTGCTTCACCTGCAAACCCCGTCGACAACTACTACTATAACAAACACCATCTTCAGCATCTTCCGAAAATTCCGAAAACAACTTCATCCGTCCGGTAACCTCCTGTGATCAACCCACTACCAACGAGCTATCACCCTCTTCACCGAAAGACACCATAGTTGCTACCTGTTGAACCTTTTCTTTGAAGATCACCAACTTCAAACCACAACCGAAGCAATAACATCTTTGACAAGATCCACCTGTTTTGCTGAGAACCATCCCTATTGAAACTGTCCAGAATCTACTGTTGGTTGCTCTGATACCAAATGTTGGATATTAGCCCTCTACTCTATAGTTTAATAGAAAATAAAGGGATAAGATGGGTTTGTGTATGGTGTTTATGTATGCATACAGAGAGTGAGAAAAAAAAACATAACAACTTAATGGGGGTAGTGCAGATTGTTGCTACAACACATGTGGGACTACATCTTTCTAAAACCTCTTATTATTCATATCAACAAGACTGTATATATAGCTTCTTAGATACCCACGTAAAGCATGAAACAACCCATGCTACTTACTCTACCTAAAGACCCATAGAATTCCATAGAATCCGGTCAAAAGCAAAGACCAATTCTAAATACAAAAACTATTATCGAAAACATAAAACATAAATTATTAAATCTAATGTTTTAGCCTTGCACGTGAGCTATGACTAACGAACCGATTAACCTAACAATGTGATCATAAACTTGATGAAGAGGTGCATACTTTTGACAAAACAATTGATGATGAATTTTTGAACAAGTTGTGTGGTAAACTTATTCCTAATAGTAATGAAGAAGAAGTACATGATGATGATGATGATGATGATGATGATGATGATGTGTCCCTGTCTTTGAACAAGTTGTGTGGTAAAACCATTCCTAATAGTAATGAAGAAGAATTAAATGATGATGATGAAGATGATGAGGTTGTGTGGTTTCTTGATCTTCTGATTGATGACATTAGAATGGGAGTTGGGCATGGACTAACCATAATATCTAACCAACACAAAATAATGTTCAAACTTCCCTTATTGATATTTTTCATACTTCATATGTTTAAGCTTATGCATTGTATGTATTGATTATAGGAATTAATTAAAGCTGTGAAGGAAAGTGTTCCATTTGCAGAGCTTAGGCCATGTGCTAGGCATATCTATGCTAATTTCCAGAAGATTTAAGGGTCAAATATTTAGGAAGCTGTTTTGGAGAGATGATGGATCTACAATTCAACAAAAAATTGAGTACCATATGAATGAAATCAAGAAGCCGGAACCAATGGCTTATGAACATTTGATGGAAAGGGACCCTAAAAACTGGTGTAAAGCATTTTTTTCAAGTTGATAGGAGTTGTGATGCATACAAAAATGGTGTTTCTAAATTTTTTAACTAATTGATTGAAGCTTCTAGGAAGAAACCACTCATTACCATGTTCGAAGAAATCCAGATTTATGTGATGGTAAGGGTGTGTATCTACAAGAGCAAGGGTCAATATTGGGATGTAAATATATGTCCTTCCATAAGGTTGAAGTTAAACAAGCTTAAGGAACAACAAAGGTAATTTGTTGTTGCGTATATGTTTAACATTTTTAATATTTTCTAAATTATATGTAATTGTGGACAGGTTTTGGCAAGTGGTAGCTTATGGTTATATGCAATTTGATGTGAGGCTAGGGTCTGATGGATATGTTATAGACCTTAATACCGGACAATGTGGATGCAGGGCTTGGCAGTTAACAGGGTATCCTTGTATGCATGGATATGCTGCCATTTCAAGCCTCAATAGGGATCCTAAGTACTACGTGTCATAATGGTTTACTACATCAATGTATGCAAGTTGTTATAGGTATAACATTAGGCCACTGAACTGTAGATGTATATGGCCTGAAGTGGATTACACCCAACCATTGCCCCCAAATAAAAGAAGGCTACCTGGAAGACTAATAATGAAAAGAAAAAAGGATCAGGTTGAGAGGAAAGCTAAGGGAACAATGCATATGGTCTCAAGATGGGGAATGGTCTTGAGATGTACCATTTGTAGGGAAAGAGGGCATAACAGATCAACATGTCTTCAAAGACCAAATGATGTACAATCTACTTCAGGTTTACAAAAAAAAAAAAAGAAAAAAAAAAACAAGGTATGGTGCTAACTTATCTGATATTTTACATGTATGTACCATTTCTGAACTTTTTCCCTCTTATAGGTAAAGTTGATTTTCAACTGGACATTGAAGCTGAATTGGAAGTGGAACGTGTAGTTGTGTTTGAAAGTGAAAGTGATAGTGACTTTGAAAGTGAAAGTGAAAGTGAAGTGGAAGCTGCAAGTGATGCGGAAGTTGCCATTGAAGTACCTGAAATGGAAGCTAACATTAAAGTTCCTAAAGCTGATGTAGAAGCTAACATTAAAGTTCCTTTAGTTCAAGATAACATTGAAGAAGTGGTTCAAGATGAAGCGGAATAGGACATTCAAGTTAACATTCAAGAAGAGGTTCAAGATGAATTGGAACAGGAAATTCAAGATAACATTGAAGAAGTGGTTCAAGATGAAGTGGAATAGGACATTCAAGTTAACAATCAAGAAGAGGTTCAAGGTGAAGTGGAACAGGAAATTCAAGTTAACATTCAAGAAGAGGTTGAAGATGGTTTGGAACATGAAATTCAAGATGATGTGCAACAGGAAATTCAAGACAATGCAGAAATTCAAGTTAGGAAGAGGATAAGAAAAACTTTAGAAAGAATTAAAAAGATTATGCTAGGGAAGAACATAGGGAGGAAAGAAGGAAGCAGTAATGAACACCCACTGGAGATTTGATTTTAATGTCTTCTTTATATTTTGGCATAACTTTTGGTAAGCATGTTTTGGAATCTTGTGCCTTATAATAGCTTTTGGCACAATAGGACAAACTTGACACATCTTTTGGGTCCCCATCTTTTGGAATGCATGTTTTATGATACATGTTTGGGAATCTTTTGTATTGTAAAGTACTTTAGCACGTGTTTTGTAATGGTTTTTGTGATGTCTACCATCTTTATTTAAGTACATGTTTTGTAATGGCTTTTGTGATGCTCATAATGCCATTTGTGTTCCTTGTCTTTAACATCTTTTGCACAAGTTCATTATATATCAAACTTTAGTCATCATACATCAAAATTATGTTACATTAACTAAAACACATGCTTTAGTCATAATACATCCAACTTTCATTACATATAAAAATTCATGAACTACATGATTTAGTCAGAATACATCAAATAGGATACAAAGAACACATCCAACTTTCAAAACTACATCTGTAACATACAAAAAAAAATAATACAAATAATGCAAATTTATGAGTAAACAACTTCCACTTCACTTTGTCCAGTTCTTGTCTGAAGAACAAATCAGAGTTCTTCTCTTCTTCCAACTTCTTCTCACATATACTAATTTTGTTTTCCAAATTTCCAAGATTCAATGATAGGTTGTAGATTTGTCCCAAATCACCGTTCTTCTCTACTGCGTAGTCATCCTCTTCCATCCATTCCATAAATTACATTTTGGAGTTCTTGAACTTTTCAATAAAAGTATAAAAAGGTTAAACTGAAGAGAATATGAAGAAGAAGATTCAATTACGGATAATAATAAAAAAACTGATTTACCAATGAGTTTTGACAAACTCGAGTTTTTTTCCAGGATTGTCGGGTGTTTTGAAATCCTCACACGAGATGTCATCTCGTACTTACATGGATGGTTAGCTTGCAATTCGACATTGCGTTTGGAAGAGACAAATGAAGAAAAAGAAGAAGCCATTGTCGATCTAGAGCTTTAACATACAAACGACCCATATAACACCCTTTATATAATGAACTAATGTGTACTATGTCATGTAGATGCCACATATTATGTTGTATATGCCAACCAAACCTTGATTTAGCCACATTATCTGAAACAGGTGTTAGCCGGTAATATTGGTGTAAATTGAACACGTAAAACAAGTTAGTTGACTTTATGTGTATAAAAAACAAGAAGTTGTCAACATATGAACAAACATAAGAGTTAGTTACCCTCCTAAGTCATTTTTCCTTTTGATTTTGGTTTCAATCACTTTGATTTCTTTGTTAATTAGAATCTTCAATCGATTTGATTTTTGTCAAATACGTTTGTAGATGTTGATTTTAGGTGGTGATATGTCATTAAACCGATGGTGGAAGAGCCGATAGGAATGGATGAGGCATGTCCACATGAAGAAGAAAAGAGGGGTGAAAGGTGGTGGATTCATGAGGGCATTGAGAGGGGGGGGGGGTAGTGGACAGTTGCATAGGGTCCATTTTTTTTAATTATGCATTATACATACATTTATTTAAAAATAAAAACTTATAATAGCAATAGGAGTCATTTTTCTCTTACTTGTCCTCGGCATTTAAGGATATTTACACCCTTAGCCCTAATAGATCTATTTATATCTAGTACATGTACTTTATATAACAAACAATAAAATAAATGATATAAAAGTAAAGTAGTCGTTTTATAAATAAAACCACATAATGTCATAAACCAAAAAATAAAAAATAAATAGACAAATAGTTTGACGACAGTTGTTAACTATACCACAGTCGTTAATTTCTTTTTCAAAGGTCCCGTACGTTATGTTCCACTTTCCTCTCAAATATTTATTTTAAAAAATATATAATAAGTATCATCTCATACAAAAACAATCTATTTTTGTCAATTTTGTAAAGAGGTGGCGGAATAGACAATAGAGGGTGGTTAGTCGCCCGTTTATGTGAAGTCATATACAATTAATTTTGACTTTTGGTGGTGATAACTTTTAAAATGATATCCAATAATATATTATTGGAAGTGTGTTTGTGTTATAACTTTAAAAAAGATATATTAAAATGAGTTTACAATTAAGGATCTTTACATAACGTTAATTTATTTCAATACACATTGTATTGCTACTCTCACGTTTTTTTCAATGTGTAAATTATAGGGTTAATATCACAAAATTCTTATATTTTTTTGCACTAAATTGGAAAAAATCCTAAATTTAATTTTTCATTTACTGTGATCACGATATTTTCTTTGAGTTATCATTTGAGAGCAAAGAGCCGGTCACCAGCAGGTAACTTGTACCATCATGTCACCACTAAGCTATTCCGTAGCCATCACCTTTCACGAACCATCACCGCTAAAGGGTTTTTCATGCATTTGAGAAGGTTTTGACGCTGAGAAGAGTTTCACAGTCCCCAATTTCGCAACTTGAAGCTCCGAAATCGTTGGTGAAGTAAGGTTGGAGTAGAAAGGTGTGTGTATGGAAACAATTATGAGGGTGGTTATCTTCGTCTATGGAGTTCCAAGTTTGAACTAACAAGTTGTTTTTTGTTTTTTTTATGAAACAGATGGATTCTACTTCTGGAACTAAGAAGCCTAAAGGGCCTAAGCTCCCTGAGAAGACATATCTTCCAGACTCTGACTCCGATTAAGATGCATTTGACTTTAGCTTCTTGGATTTTTTTGAAGAAACTTTCAAAGCCCCCTCAACACTATGTGATGATCAGTTTCTTAACTTATTGTGCGATGAAAACATATTAAGGAGTAGTATTGATGGAATGGTAGATGATGGAAACATTCCTAGTGTCCAACAAAAAGAGCATGCCCACTTAGATGAGGACAATGAAGATGTTGGTGTGAGAGTATAGGGTGCATGATCCCAATGTTGACTGGAAAGAGATGAGGCCCCGATTAGGAGACTATTATGAATCCCCTGCTCAACTCAGGTTTGCTTTAACTAACTATGCAGTCCATGGAGGGTACCAACTTTATTTTGAAAAAAGTGATAGAGTGAGGGTTATAGCTAAGTGTGGAAGTGGAACTAGGGACAACAATGATAATAACAAAATGCAGTGTCCATTTAGGGTTGCAGCTGGATGGAAGTACAATGAAAGAACATTCCAGATAAAATTTTGTAATGAAATGCATCTCTGTGCTACGAATTATCATTTTGGTTCCTTAGTTACTAGTAATTGGTTAGCCAAACACTACCTGAAAGATGTAATCATGAAGCCCAAGATAACATTGCTAGAGATGCAAGCAGATGTGCTACAAAGGTTTTCAGTGAGTGTATCTCTTGGGAAATGCCAAAGAGCAAGGGCTACTGCAATGGGGATAATAGAAGGGAAGTTAGAAGACCACTATGCCAAGGTTTGGGACTATACAGTTGCAATTAGGTTGAGTAATCCGGGTACAACTTGCTTGGTGGGGGTAGAAAGCAATTTGGGGTTTAACTATTTCAAAAGGTTTTATGTTGGCTTCAAGGCTTTCAGAGATGGATGGAGCAGAGGATGTAGAAGGTTAATAGGACTAGATGGTAGTTTCTTGAAGGGGCAGGTTAAGGGGGAGATTTTAACTGCTATTGGGAGGGATGCAGACAACCATGTCTACCCAATAACATGGGCAGTTGTGAATGTTGAGAATAAGGACAACTGGACCTAGTTCATTAATAATTTGGTCGTTGATTTGGATCTTGGTGCTGGCAATGGATTGGTTGTTATCTCAGACCAACATAAGGTACCACATGTAACGCCCATAGATCTGGGCTAGTCAATTTAGAGATAATAGGGGCCGGAAATGACTTTTCGACAAAAGATTATTTAGAATAAATAATCTTAACCAAGTTTTATAATATGTCTCAAAGGTTCCGTACATATAAAGAATGCCGAAATCCGAGTTATAACGAAGAAGTTATGGTCTGTCGAAGTTTTACGGCAAAACCGACACGGCACCGGGAGACGTAAATAGTGAATTTTTGATAAAGAAATTTTTAGCCTTATCAATCCAAATAAAATTTGTAGTATATGTTAAACCGAGAACATAAAAAAAAAAGAACGCCCAAATCTGACTCCGTATGAGGAAGTTATGAATTTTCTAAGATTTAGCATAGTAGTGCACGGCCCGAAACTCGAATTTTAGTTCGAGCGGTTTTTAGCCTACGCGGCCTAAATGAGAATTGAATATCTCATTAATAGGAACTCAACGGTAAAAATACAGACGACAACAGATTCCGTATGTAGAAGTTAAGAATTTTACGCAGACATTTAACAGTATAATCTTCTCGTACTATTAAATTTAAGATCGGTCGAGAATTAGCCGACGGAGTCAAAATGAAAGTTGTAGATCTTATTTTTACCTGCGTGTGGATATAAATAACGTCAAAATGGAGGTCGTATGTGAAAGTTACGGATTTTAGAAGTCGGAAGTGTGTTGTGCGAAAATGGGTGATGTGGCACAATCTTGGCCATTGCTTTCTCCTCAAGTCTTGCCACAAGATGGTGACATGTGGCACCAAGTTTAGCCATTTTCACCCTATAAATAGAACCTCTCCCACCCTCATTTTCTTCACACATTTCCCATTCTTTTTTCTCTATACTCTCTCTCTAGAACCTCTCTCTAGCCCCGAAACCCCCCCCCCCCCCGAAAAAGCTTAGGGAACCTCCCTAGCACGAGGCGGAAGCCCCAGAGTGCTCGACGGCTCCAAGAAGAAAAGATTTTTGGCTCAGGAACGTTACTCCAAGCAAAGCCCGATTTTCTATAAAACTCATTGTAAGTGAGTTACGTCTACGCTATTTTTAATATATCGTTTATTTAGTTATAGTAACGTTATTAGGAACTTATAATAAGTACTTGGGCTATTATTATGGGTTATATAAGTATTGTTTAATGCTTATATAATAGTAATAATAGCTAGAGTATTAATTAGTCTCGACAAATAATAGACTAAACTCTAGTGGTAATAATACTAGGTTTCGTCGAAGGAAATTGTTTTTAAGAAGCGAAACGCTGTCTAAGTTCGGAATCACCATCTTTTCAAGTGAGTGCATAGTCCCTTTCATGAACATGATTTTAATACAAGTATTAATTAAAGTATTAAGAGTAAACTACACGAATGATCCCTATGGTTTGGGATAATTTGCACGTTTGGTCCCTAACTTATTTTTTTAACTCGGAAGGTCCCTACTGTTTGGCTAATCTTAGGTCCGAGAGTATGGATAGTCTTGTTGTGAGGATCGACGGGGTGGGATAAGAATTGTTCATATATATGGTGAAATTGTATATTTTGTGAGTTTTAAACTATATATATGGTATAACATTGTGGGATTGAAATCCCTATGTACTCACCAGGTTTCCCAACCTGACCGACTCAGTTTATTTATATCACAGGTGTTGATATGAAGTCACATTACACTGAGAGATTAAGGAGATATAAATCACTAGTGATAATAAATGTAAGTTCTGTTTATGCTTATGTTTCTATATTGACGATGACATCCCAAATGTTTTAAAATGAATAAAAATACTTTTCTTCGGAAATGCTTTGATAACGTATTTAGCACGTTTTACTGGGAACAAATTCTGCAACATTTTTATTAAAAGAGGTACTCTGATTTTTATAAACAAAATCGGCCTTTTCTGGCCGTGAAAATGGGGATGTCACACCACAACATACACTAGTATACAATATATATTTGTATGTTATAGTCATTAATATTTACATGTGTTGTGTTGTATTTGTTTGTTAATTATATGGACTTTTACAGGCTGTGGCAGACCTACTCCCTCATGTTGAGCATAGACAATGTGCTAGACATATCTTTGAAAACTTTAGAAAGAAATTCACAGGATTAGAGCTAAAGAGTTTGTTCTGGAAAGTTGCTATGAGTACAGCGGAAGGGGACTTTCTTGCTACAATGGAGAAGATAAAGAAGATAACAGAAACAAGATACAATTATCTTATGGAAAGGAAACCTGAAACTTGGTGCAGAGCCTTGTTTTCTCATAGGTATGCTTGTGAAGCAGTAGAGAATGGGGTTGCAGAATGCTTCAATGCCATGATCAAACAGATAAGGAAGAAACCTATAATCACAATGCTTGAGGAAATAAGGATTCTCCTTATGAAAATGTTTTTTCATCAAGGTCAAGAGGCCACCAAATGGAGGGGTAATTATGGGCCTAACATACAACTGAAGCTTAATGAATTTGGGAAAGATATGAGGTAATATAAGTTTTTATTAGCATGTATCCAAAAATATTAAGTATGTATTTATATGTGTACTTTGTTTGTTTTGTGTGTAGGTTGTGGACAGTGGTGCCAAGTGGTGGTGATGTGTTTGAGACTAGGTATGGCTACAATAGATACAAGGTTGATTTAGCCAATCACACTTGCACCTACAACTTGTGGATGTTGTCGGGCATACCATGTGTGCATAGTCAAGCTGCAATCAACTATGTCCACAAAGATCCAAGTGAATTCATTTCTTCTTGGTTCCACAAGGACAAATATGTTGCAACCTACAGTCAGAACATACAACCTATTAGTGGAAGCAACTTGTGGCCAATGACTGAGTTTATTAAATCATTACCACCCCCAGTTAGAAGGATGCCTGGAAGACCCAAAGTAAATAGAGTGAAGCATGCATCTGAATCAAAAGATGCCAAATACTCCTCTCAAATGTTAAAGGTAACTAGGACTATGAGGTGTGGAAAGTTCCAACAACTTGGGCATAATAAGATTTCATGCACAAATGATGAGGTACCTAAGCCACCTGTCCAAAAAAGGAAGATTGGAAGAACTAGGAAAGATGGGGGAGGCCAACCTATCTTTGATCAATTCCCTCTAGTTGAGCCTGCTATACTAAGAAGAGATGCTACTCCTCCTACAGTTTCAGAATGTGGTGATCAAGTTGGTGGGCCTGATATACCAAGAAGTGATGTTACTCCTCCCCCAGTTTCAGAATCTGGTAATCAAGTGGGTGGTCGTAATGTTAGTCCTCTAAAAAGGACTAAGATGATGGCAAGGAGAGGAGGGAGAACTAAAGTGTCTGGATCAAGGAACAAAACACCAAAGAAAACACCTAATGGTAAGAAACATAAGAGTAATGCAAACGAGGATGTGTCCCTAACCTGTGATGAGGATTTTGTTGATCTTTTTACCCATGCACCTAATGGTAAGCAAGGTATGAGTCAAGAAACAGAGGATGTTCAGGAACAAGAACATGATGACAATGAGGTGAAGGTGAGTGAAAGACTTACTTTACTGGAGTTGCTGATGTATGGATATACACATGCTGATGCAGTGGCTGCTATGAAAGAGGTATGTTCTGGTAATCACTATTTTTGGCTTTCATATTGTAGATTTACTAACTACCCCTCTGTATTGTAGGTTTATGGAGAGGTTTGGGAACAACAGATTGAAGAAAAAGAGTTTGAGGAAGGAGTTGAAGATAAAGAGGTTGAAGAAGAAGAAGTTGAAGGAATACAGGTTGAGCAAGAAGAAGTTGAAGGTATAGTGGTTGAGGAAGAAGGAGTTGAAGAAAAAGAGGTTGGAGCAAGAGTCCTACCCTCTAGAAGAAGTTATGGTGCTTATAATTTCCATTGGGAGAAAAAGAGGAAACCCTCTGAAAGAATTAGGAAGTTGAAGCTCAGGAAAATGGTTGAAGATGTTGATGGTGGTGGTTCCTCCAAACCCCCTTGGGTTTTAGAGTAAGGAGTTGTGTTTAAGGGTTCAATGGGTAGAATGGGCATTAGTAAATTGGTTGCCCTTTTTGTAAACATCTACTTTGGGTACACTTGTCTTTTGGTAACAAGCTTCCAATTCATATCCATAATGTTTGGTAGAATTGAAATTTTGGTTCTAATTAGGTTAAATGGTATGATAGTGGTTTTAGGGAAGCATTGTAAAGTACATTCCCATTTTTGGGCTGTTAACTGACATTGATATTTGGTATGATTGTTAAGTTATCAATATATATATATATATATATATATGCCTTGATCACTATAATTGTTGTTAAAGGACTTAATAGTTATCAATACATATATATAAATATATATATATATATATATATATATATATATATATATATATATATATATATATATATATATATATTGATACCTATTAAGTCCTTTAACAACAATTATAGTGATCAAGGCATATATATATATATATATATATATATATATATATATATATATATATATATATATGGTAAGTAGGTTTATACATATGTATGTGCTAAAGGACTTAATACATTGTTATCATTAAGACATAATAAGTTGTTGTCATTGTCATCTCTTACAAAACCAAAAAAATTGCCATACATAACACATGCATCTACTTACTGCCTAACTTGACCAAAATACCCTTACACCTAAACTACTACTACCATTCCATCTGAACCTAACTAATGGCCACAACTTCACAGTGCTTTAACCATAACATTGTGAACCATAAACCCCATCACTATCACCACCACCAAAAGCATTACCATCATAAGTAGCTCCACCTTCAACAGGTTTAAAATATCTAGTTGAACTTCTTTGTTGTTCTTGGCCTCCTCCGAAAGCTTCAAAACCTCCATTGCAAATGCTTTATTGTTGTTAGCCTCCTCCAAATCCACATGGAACTTCCACATAGTTTCCTTGTAGTAAGTGTTTGGCAGGGGTGGATCAAGCCATAAAAAAATCTGCATTTTCTTTTGGAGTCCTGCACAACAATCACTTTTTCATAATGGTTCAACAAGACCACAAAAAATTACTTAATATTACCTGATAGTTTGGACACCCCCTGAATTTCCTCCATGGATTATCGACAATTTTGGAGATCGAGAATGTCGCAGGTTCATCACAATCGGATCTGAAATCTTCAGACCAATGATTTCTTAAAGCCCACTCTTTGTAACCTTGTGTGTGTGTTGGAGGAGCTTACCATATTTTTGGTTTGAAGTTGGAGAGAAGAATCGACCCAAAACTACCTGCAACGTTCGACTAAGGGAGCAACCTGCTGAAACCGGTGAAACCGACTCTTTGCCCTCAAACGATAAGTTAATAAAAATACCGTGGTCACATTAAATGAAAAATTAAATTCAGTGCTTTTTCCAATTTAGTGCCAAAAACATGGGACTTTTGTGATATTAGCCCTAAATTATATGTAAAAGGAAATTATACATGCCAAACTGGCATCGCCATCACTACCATCTCTCCCATCGACCACCGTCACCTCAGCCACTGCCTCCACCATCACCGTCATCGCCACCACCACTGTCATTGTCACTACTAATGGCGAGTCTATAATGTAAAACCACGCAGTTCACTTTATAAGTGAAATCGATAGAAAATGAAAAAAAAAATCAATATATCCTAGGTGTAGGTCCAAGTTGGGTCAAAGATACGCATCCTTGAATGTGAAAAAAAGGGATATATATGTAACTGTCGGAGTTGTCGTCGGCGGTGGCGGACAGCTTTGGGCAATAGCAACACTCAGCAGGCAGCCTGTCGGGAGTTGAATTGTTGATCGGTGATTTTCAATTTGTACGATTATGTGTATCAACGTATGTTGAGAAGCGGGAGAAGAAACGACGTGGTGAAAAAATCTTGTTTTTTTTCCTTTTTTTCTTTAATTATCTAATTATTTTTAACTTTTATTGTGTCATTTCTTATTGGATTATACTTTAAATGAATTGGGTATTTGGCATATTAAAATATAAGTTGTGAGCTATAAAATCTTGATTTATATATTCTTTTTTGCCCAAACACATTAAGGTAGTTCACTTCAAATATTTAAAGTAGACAAAATTGTAAAAATGTCCCATGTGGTATGCATTTTTCTCTGGGTTTTCGTTCAACCCTCAAATTTTTTGGCTTCGTGGTTCTTTTGGCCATGTTTCTATGTGGAAACGGTCCCTCCAAAATTAAAATGACTATCATACCCTTTTATTTTTATTTTTACATTTTTTAATATCTATTTTAATATTTTAATTTTTAAAACAATAGAAGGGGCCCACTAACATCTTCTCTCTCTCTTTCTTTATCTCTTTCTTTCTCTCCATCTCTCTCTCACTCTCTCGCTCTCTCTCGTATACCCACCCGTGGAGACCATGGATTCTCATTTCTCTACTCTTCAATGTTCAAACATCCTTGATTCGATACACACACTTGATTAGGGTTCAATTGGTAGATTCGATACACACACATACTTGATTGGGGTTCAATACACACATTGGAAAATTGGAAACACACACTCACACACAGTGAAGGATACGATAAAGGTGTGTAAACCCATTTGATTGGGATGGAGACGGCGGTTTTAAAGTGGCTCCTCCATCAACAAAAGCTGAAACAACAGGAGATGTATATGAAGTAGTTGCATGTGTGCTTTCCCAATATAGACTGTTGAACCCGATTACAAACACATTGATATCGAATCTGTACAGGATTGTGATTGGATGAACAAAAATTAGATACAAGACCTACATGAGAAAGAGAAAAGGAATGCACCCCTTTTTTTCCTGGTTCCAAATTTCTCATCGACGATTGAAGAAAAAGGAAGGTGGCTTTGTGAAATTTTAAGCAGAGAAAAGAAAAAGGGGTTCAATTTCCCTGTTTCTATGATGTAGGAGACACACACACATAGAGATGGGATTTGCGATCATAAAGAAAGAAGAAAGAAGAGAAACCGATCTATTGCAAGAGAAGGAGTGGGTGAGATTTTGATGGATTGAAAATGGCCTCTTCTATAGCAAGTTTCTTTCCTAATCTGAATCCACCGTCTGAAAATGGTCTCTTCCCCAATCTGAAGGAGGAAAGAAGGAGAAAATATGGACAAACAGAGAATGAGCAATGGTGTAGTTGGTGTTCACCGACGATGCTACCTAGTTTGGTTTAGGCGATACGTGAGGTATGGTGGTTGATGTTGATGTTGAGGGTCAAGCGGTAGGGTGGGGAGAGAGAGTAAGTGTGTTTTCTGGTGATTGTATTTTCCAGCGATAGAGGAATGGGAAGGATGATAGAGACTTTTTCACCAGATTGCAAATCGGAGGGGTGGAGTTTAAGAGAAAAAAAATGGGGGGGAGGAGGAGGAGGAGGAGAGTGAGAGAGAGAGAGAGAGAGAGAGAGAGAGAGAGAGAGAGAGAGAAAGACTCTTCTTTATTTGTTTTAATATTGATATTTAAATAAAAGGAAATTGTTTAAAAAAATGAAAAAAAAATTAAAAGGGAAGATTAGTCTTTTCAAGTTTAAATGGGACTAATTCCACTATAAAACTAGTTGAAAATGACCATTAATCCAAAAAATTGTGGTTTGGACCAAAACCCGAAAAAAAATGCATACCACAGGGACCATTTGTAACATCCCAAAAATATTGACATAAAATTTCATTTTATTTATAGTAGAAGGATCACCAATTACTTGGTTAAATGAAACTGATACATTATAATCAGAGTATAAATCCCAGAACAAGTCAAATGCGGAACAATAAGTAGTCAACCCGAGCTCTTCCTTTTGAAAACCGAAGTATCTGAAACATAAACTGACAATCGTAAGAACAAAGCTTAGTGAGTTCCCCAAGATACCTCATACCATACATAACAAAACATATAATGGGCCCCGCTCGATCATCGATCTGAGCCCGGTAGTAAATCGGGCCCCACCCAGCATGCATATAACATATATATAATATTCACATACACATGCAACATAGATACATAGCATACAACCAGTCATCAGGCCTCGCCCGGTATCGGACCTTAGCCTGGAAAGCATATAAACACATACACATGCAAGAATAACGAAGAGAGCTAGCATACTAACATAGCATAAACATGAGCCGACATTGGGGCCTTCGACCCACTAAACCTAGTGAGGAAACTCACCTCACACTGCTGAAGTCCCGCGGATAAAAATATGGTTGTTGACTGACAGATCCTCGAATTGTCAACATTAAAACAACACCCAATTAATAATTGGGTTCGAGTGCATAACCATAAATCTATACTTGGGATAAAGAGACCATTTTACCCCTAACTTAGCGTGGTCCAAGACCGAAGCCCAAACTTACACTCTGGAGGCCCAAAAGCCAAATAATCAACCAAGGCCCAATATATGGCCTAATTTTCCAAATTGGGCCCAAACCCCTTATACGGGCCTTACCCTAAAGCCCATCCAAATATCCTAGTCCACACACCTGTTCTTAGATGGCCCAACAAGAACCCAAACACCTAAGCCTAAAAGAAAGGTCCAACTCGAAGCCCAAACACAATTAGATTTTTCACATAAAATGACGATTAGGGTTAAGTAAAAACACTTAACCTATTAAGGACTTAATCCATCAAGTCCATTCCTCTACTAGGTGAATCATACAATATGGTCAGGCATAATTCATAACTCTAATCCAACGGTCCAAAACGCGAGTCCCGGCAAGTCCAAACTAAAGTCTCCAAGATTAAGGTTTCCTAAACCCTAATTAAGGTTTCCAACCCAAACACATGCCAATTAGGTCCAAAGTTAACTTTTTAGGTTAATTAGAGTTTCACTAGGTCGGGCACCACCCACTGCCACCTTGGGCAGTGGTGGTCGACGACGGTTCAGAGTGGTTATGATTTTAGACGAATACATATCAAAAGTATCCCAAATATCAGTCCAATCACACACATATACACACAGCCGCCCAAGGTGATGACTGGTGGCGGCAAAATGGCAACATGAGGTTGCAGCCACCACCTCACGGTGTTGGTGACGAGTTTTCCTTAATTTTTTCGGCAAAAAACATTTATACAACATCTCCTTTAATAGAAACGCAGACACACCATATAACACACACACAGCCACCAACACACGGTAGGTGGTGGTAGATAAGCATTAAGGGCGACAACCACCATGGTTGGCTGCCATGGTGGCCCTCTTCACTAATCCGACCAGCAAACTCCCACACACATGCATCCATCACATTAAAGTAGCAATATACACACCCAATTGCGAAACACGAACACAGCCACCATTCACGGTGGCATGCGGTAGACAGAGCAATTGGCAGCAACTCACGACGACCGCTCAGAGCGGCGGCGACGGCAATGGCGCTCTAACAGAAGGAGATGAAGAAGAGAAGAGGTGGATGACCCCCAACGGAAATAGCAGCAATGACAACCATGGATTGCTTCTTCCGATTTTCTAATACCACGACGCCCCAATGACATCCTTCATCTTCAACGGCAGTGGATGCAGCGGTGGTGGCTATGGAGGAGGCGGCGGTTGGAGAGACAAGGGTGGTAAAGGTGGCAACTAACATGGTTTAGAGTTAGGGTTTTGATATATGCGACGAAAGGAAGGAAAGTGACTGTCTTAAATCCCGCCTCTAATTAAAACTTCATTCTATTGACACATTCGGCCCCTATTTCTCTAATCATTACAATCCAATTCCGTATTTTACTCTTTAGCCCCTGCTTCCCAAAAATCTATTAAATACAAGTCCAATTGCTACAATTTAGACTCTAAATTCCTGAATCATAACATTTAACTCTCATGGCTAACACTGATAAATTATTATGGATTTAGGACTACAATAAAATAATATAAAAAATATGATTCACATCTTAGGGTTTTAGGGTTTATTATTTATTTACTTATTGTATTTAATCTTGTTTATTTAATTTCAAACGCAATGTTACACCATTTTTGAAGTTTTGTCTTTAAAGTAAGTCACAATTATTATTTATATTTAATATCTTGTGTTAGAAAAAAAAAATAGGTGCGTCAAGTGACCCGCCTTCATTACATGTACACTCGTCCCTTGCCACCACCACCACCACCACCTCCTCCACCATCACCTTTGTTATGGTTGTCACCACCGCCACCACCACTATCACCGCTACCGCCACCACTTCCGTCACTAAAAGTCATAATCATATATGAATAATCGCTTCTGAATAGAGATATATGGATAATAATATGTGAATAATCAAATGTTAATATACTAAGTAATATTGATATATAAATATTATCTTTTCTGTCAGACCGATATGTTGGCAGATGAATAAATGTGTGGTCCAAATTCATTTTCGTGTCTCAACCTTTTTCTTTCACAATTGAACTGGTATGTGTGTGTCTATATATATATATATATATATATATATATATATATATATATATGTGTGTGTGTGTGTGTGTGTGTGTGTGTGTATTATAAAAGTCATAAAATTATTGAGTTAGACATAGCATGTGGATGAACATTTTTCAACCTTCAAATAGTTTCCTTTAACTATTTAGTTACTATTTTGATGATGTAATAATATGATGATATGTAGTATAAATACCCATCAAACGTGAAAGTAATAAACACACCATCTTGAATACAATCTTCTAAATATTCAAGAACACTCTCAAATCCCCTTCTTTTATTTTATAATGTTTTAGTTTAATTTTGTTAGTTTTAGTTTTATTTACATCAAATTTATAACATGTTATCAATGCGAAAGCTCTAATCAAGGTTATTAAACAAGTGGAAATCGCATATATCTTAATCAAGGTATGTATTACTTAGTAAAAACATTATTAATTATAAAAACCTCTATCATATTAAAAAAAACTACTAATGAAATAATAAAATTTATTCATTATGGACATTATGGACTACTAACAATTTTTATTTCTTCTACTAACATTTACTTTATGTACCTAACTTTTATTTATGCATACTAACATATAAATTATGCAACTTATTTTTATTTATGTATATTAACATTTATTTATACATCTCAATGTTTATTTATTTATATTTTAGATATTCTTTATAATTTTATTTAAACATTTACTAATATTTATTTATGTTTCAAATTAGTAAAATTATATACTAATTAAATGGCTTACTGAATGATATATATATATATATATATATATATATATATATATATATATATATATATATATATATATATATATATATGCAACGATTATAAACAACAAAAATAACGACTATTTTTCTACTATAAATAACATCACCATCATATTTCTTTCTATCAAAAAAGGAATAAATTCTCTCAAGTTTCAAGGTTATCAAGATCAAAATGATTCATCTGGTTGTGATTCTCGCAACTATAATGACTATAGCACTTAGCTTCCTATTTTTCAATCTCACACTGGATGTATTTTATCCTGATTTATCTTATCCTTTCTTAGTCTTGTATGGGATGATTCTTCTCCCGCTTATGTTTTGTGCAATACATGTTGAAATAAACGGATTTTAATTGTCATCTTGTTATTTTGTTTAAATTTTTAGTTACCATATGTCCAACATTGCAAAGCTCGAGTTTGCAGCATAGGAAGTTAGTGGGAAAAAGTATGTGCCATGGATGATAGATGTAAAAATACATCTTGAGTCCATGGGAATCTCAAATGCTATATATGAATTTAATAATTGATTGACACAAGACAAGGCGAAAACACAAGTTTTCCTTCGTAAGCATATTGATAAGATGTTTAGATTTGAATATCTTGATATTACTGATCCAAGTATTCTTCAGAATCTCTTGAAAGAAAGATTTGATCATCAAAAGGAAGTTATACTTCCAAATGCTAGAGATGAATAGAGAACATTGAGGTTTCAAGACTTCAAGAAAGTAAATGTATACAACTTAGCTTTGTTCAGAATATGTTCACAACTCAAGTATAGTGGACAAGAAGTTACTGATTAAGATATATTAGAGAAAACTTACTCCACATTTCATGCAACAAACATTACCTTGATGAAACAATATCAGTTGAAAATTTTCACAAAATATTCTGAACTGAATGTATCTCTGCTTGTTGCAAAGAAAAAAAATGAGCTCTTGATGAAATACCATGAATATCGATCAACAGGATCAGTAGCACTTCCTGAAGCAAATGCTACAAATATTGATGGTTATCGAAACAATACACGTGGACGAGGGCGTGGCCATGGTTGAGGATGAAGTCGTGGCTATTTTAATCGAAACCATATCCATAATCAGAACCATAATTTTGGTCGTGGACAAGGTAATAATCGTGGTCGTGGCCATAAAAGGAATAATTACCAATCTTTACAAAGAAACAATATCCATAGACAAGAAAAGGCCAAAGTGGCAAGACATGATGTTGGGACATCACAAAAATCTGATGGTTCATGTTATAGATGTGGTAGCACAAGCCATTGCTCAAGGACTTGTCGCACACTTGTACATCTTTGTCAACTTTCTCAAGAGTCCATTAAAGGAAAAGGAAAATAAGAAAACCCCATTGATAATGTTGAATGCACTCCACTAACTGTTGTTGATTTCTGCAATGACATGGAAGACATAAACTAAAAATTTATGTTATTGTTCTTGTAAACCTGTTTTTCCTTCCTTTGTTTTTAATGTAATATCTTTCCTACAATAAATGAACTTTCTTTATAATAATTATTGTGATTATGTTTATTGGGTTATTATTTATTTCATATGTGAAGTTTAATATGAGTCCAACTGGAGCACAACACCAAGAAAAGGTTAGAGATCTTTGTATAGCAGATAGTCGTAGTACGCATACTACTTTGAAATCAAAGAAATATTTTTTCAAAATTATTATCAACAAAAACAGTCATATATACAATATCAGGTCCTAAAGACTTGATAGAGGGAACTGGGAACGCCCAATTTATATTACCAAATTTTGTATAGAAAATGCCTTATTTTCTCCAAAGTCTAATAGAAACTTACTAAGTTTCAATAACATATATTTCAAAGGATATGACACAAAAATTGTGACCATTGAAAATAAAAATTATATGTATATTATGGACAAAAACCATGTGCCTGAAAAACTACCAACATTTGATTCTGGTTTGCATTATACATATTTACACATGATTGAATCAAATATGGTAGTCAAAGAAAAACATTGTGATCCTGGAACATTCAGTTTATGGCATTATAGGTTGGGCCACCCAAGATTAACAATGATGCGAAGGATAATTAAGAATACACATAGGTACCCATTGAAGGACCATAAGTCCCCTCAATCCAGTAGCATAATACCATGTACATCTTGTTCCTTTGGAAAGTTAATTATAAAACATTCTCCAATGAAAGTTGAAAGGGAGTCACCTAGATTTCTAGAAAGAATGCAAGGTGACATATATGGACCAATTCATCCACCATCTAGACAATTTAGATACTTTATGGTCCTAATATATTCATCCAACAAATGTCACATGTTTTCCTATTATCAACTCATAATTTGGCATTTGCAAAGTTTCTTACTCAAATTATTAAATTAAGGGCACATATTCCTGATTATACTATCAAGAGAGTGAGACTTGATAATGTTGGTGAATTTACTTCACAATCATTTAATGACTATTATATGTCTGTAGGAATTGTTGAAGAGCATCTAATTGCTCATGTACACACACAAAATGGTTTAGCTAAATCACTGATTAAATGTCTCCAGCTAATAGATAGACCATTGATAATGAGAACTAAACTTCCTGTTTTTGTTTAGGGCCATGTAATCTTACATGGTGGATATTTGGTACACATGAGACCAAGTTCATATCATGTATATTCTCCCCTACAACTTGCTTTTGGTCAAGAGCCAAATATATCCCATTTGAGAATTTTTGGGTGTACAATATATGTCCTCATTGCACCACCACAAAGGACAAAAATGAGTCCTCAAAGAAGGTTGGGACAATATGTTGGTTATGAGTCAATCTCTATTATAAGTGTGACGCCATGTTCTGAATCGTTTCTTATTTCGGGAAATGGTCAAAGATTGGGTATCAGCATGCTTAGGACCTTTGAAGAATTTAGATATGGACTCATTTGGAGGCGGGTGATGTATTTGGATGATTTGGGTGTTCGGTTTGTGTTTTTGAGCCAAGGGGTATTTCGGTAAAGTGTAAGTTTGGGTTCTATGGAAATTGGATTCTTGTTTGGGAAATTTTATGGTAGATATGAGTTGATGAAAGCGTAGAGTTTCTCGTTACCTTTTCAAGGATATAAGGATCGTCGGAATCATATTTATAACGACGAAGTTATAGCCTTCAGAGTGTTTTAGGGTTTAAGGGGAAACTCTAGTACACAGGGCATACTGGTGTGAAAGGTAGTACGCAGGGCATAATTTAGTGTATGCTTAGAATACCGCAAAGGGTGGATCAGGAGTGCGAGGCCTGATGGTTTATATATTTGGATGATAGATGTTTGCCTTACTCTTGCATGTGTTTTGTGATGGTATGCTTACCGGGCAAGGCCCAATGCCAGGCCAGGCCCAATGAGTATATTGTATGCTAGTTAT